ATAAGAGAACTAGTCAGGTCAACTTGTTGGGGAATATCTAATATTGTGTCTTTATATACTTAAAGACAAAAGGCACTTCTGATAATATAGATCTATCCGATTCTACTGAATTTAACGATTTTGATACAGGATGTAGGATTTGTTTAGTATATTGTAGGTCTTGCCAGAACGCATCATCCAATATAACTTTTTTAATATTCAGGTTTTCCACTAATACAGTACATTGCAGAGCTTCCTTATTTCTTGAAAGCGAACCAACAGTTATAAACAGAGAACCCCATCTTGTTTTTGCAGGTAATTTGAGGGAAATTACTTTATTTTTTGGGTATTTTTTGGCCTGTGCTTCTTTGAATGCAGCATAAAGTATGTGGTGCTGTTCAAAATATCTACAAATTTTTTAGACTCTTTACTTATTTTTTCAAACAAATTTTCATTCATAAAGTCCCTTAGTAGCAAATTCAGAGTGTGAGCTGCACAACCAACACAAGATATATGAGGATATGTTGTATTTATAATATGCCAAGCAGCTTTCATATTGCTCGCATTGTCAGTCACTATAAAAAAAATTTGTGGCCCTATTTCTTGAATAACTTTGATAAGTTCATTACTTATATACGTTCCCATTTATTTTGCAGTGCCACGATGAACAGTTTTGTAAAATAAAGGTATAGGCGTGCATATAACAATATTGATTAATCCATCTCCGACTATATCTGTCCAACTATCTGTTACTATTGATAAACTATCGGATTCAGAAAGCTTTTGACTTCGGTTTATCTGTACACGTTCATACTCGGAATTAAGTAATTTTGTTGACAGGGCGTAAGGGCTAGGTATTTGATATGACGGTCTTAACATTTTAAAAACCTGTTCCCAAAAAGAGAAAAAGGAACACCAGAAGCATAAAGAGCCCTAGCTAATGCCTCATCAATTTTAGAAGACTCTGAAACAGTTATCTTATCGAAAAACCCGCTCAATGTTTGTTGGCAGCTAGCTTTCTTGCGTTTTACTGATGGTAATGGAGATTCGGAAGATGATGACATTGATGACGTGTCCTTTTTGCTAGTTGAAGGGAGACTGGTATCTTCTAATGCTTCTAGCAGGATATCTTTGTTACTTTCTTTTTCTTCTTCTCTTATCTCTTCATCTTTGTTTTCGGTCACCGACATGTCATTTTGTTAGTTGAATGTTTACCATTGATCGCTATGGAGTCGTATTCGATTGAAGACCGCATTAAAGTTATTCAAGAGCACTACAAAAATGGTGCAAAAATAAAAAACACGTTTCGCGCGCTTCGTGAACATTTCGGTCGCAACAACCGCCCAAACGAAACAACCATCGGTCGTCTGGTACGTAAATTCGAGGCAACAGGTCCTGTGGCAAATCTGCCAGGCTCTAGCCGGCCAAGGAGCGTTCGCACACCGGAAAATATTGCTGTTGTGAAGGAGAGTGTGAGAGACGATCCGAAACAATCAACAACGCGTCGATCCCAAGAATTGGGCATTTCGAGAACCAGTTTGCTCCGCATTCTCCACAAGGATTTGAATGTACACGCCTACAAGATCCAATTGACGCTAGAGCTGCGTCGGGCCGACTATTTTTCGCGCCGAACGTTCTCAGATTGGCTCCTTGAACACCGCCAAATTGATGCCAATTTTTTATCAAAAATCATCATCAGCGACGAAGCGCATTTCACTTTGAATGGGACGATAAACAAGCAAAACTGCCGCATCTGGGCGAACGAAAATCCCCGTGAGTATCAAGAGCAGCCGATGCATCCTCAAAGAGTGACTGTGTGGTGTGCATTGTGGTCAAAAGGCATCATCGGACCTTACTTTTTCGAAAATGCGGCCGGGGACGCCGTTACCGTCAATTCTGAGCGATATCACGTGATGATAGAGGACTATTTTTTGCCGCAACTTGAAGGAATGGATGTGGACGATGTTTATTTCCAACAAGACGGTGCAACATGCCACTCAACCAACGTCAATATCCATCGATTGCACTCCTTCTTCGGTGATCGCGTGATTTCGCGCAGAGGAAATGTGCCATGGCCACCTAGATCGTGCGATTTGACTCCCTTCTTTTTATGGGGATATTTGAAAAGCAAAGTCTACGTCAATAAACCAGCCACCCTCCAAGAACTCAAAAACAACGTCATTGCCGAGATAAATGCCATAGAACCGACCATGTTGCAAAATGTCATTGAAGATTTCGACCATCGCGTGGACGTCTGTAAATCCAGTCGTGGTGAACATTTGAGCGATATTATTTTTCATACATAAATGGTATAAATGAACCTTCAAAATAAAGTACCCAACTTGATTTGAATATCAATCTTTCTTGTTTTAATATGCGTTTACTTTCCTGCGTCTGTTTTGGACAACCCCATATTTCATTGCCATATTTTTGTTTAATTTCCAAAGGACATTTTGAACATTGGTTTAATATATGATTTGTCATGCGAGTTGCGTTTGGAAAGGCGTATTTAAAACAGCAAAACTTACACACAGCCTTGGATTTTTTATCTGTTTTTTCAATATCAAATAATTGCCAAATATCTCAAGAAGGTCGAACCATATTGTCCTGCAACAAGAACAAAATACATAAATGAAATATCTTGCTGCACTTTATCAACTGATCAAATTCTTGAAATTTAATGAGTATACAGATAATAATTATTATTTCTGAATCTTGATATTAGTAATAAAGAAAAGTAAGGAAAAACACTTAAACCTATTCCAAATTTAATAAAATATTCACTTACCGGAAACCAAAACAAACACTTGGGTCAACAACACTAACAATAGAACAAACACACTCAATTATTACAGCAAAATTTCACTTTGTATTATTCATTTACTGCGCTTATGATAAGGCTAAATTAAAATGCGTGCTTTAAAATAAACAAGACGTGTCAATATTGAAGAATCTGATTCTCAACTGAACAATTCAGGAATACGGGGATTTACCGAAATGCCGTGTCGCTGTGCGTGCTCGGGAATTTACCGAAAGCTGTAGTGGTCGGGGATTCACCGAAAATCGACGGGTATTTACCTAGAACTACTCCTTCAGAGCCGTAGCTTGTGGTTTTGATTCAAATTATTTCTGTTTGATTTATATTAATGGAAAAATCAGTAACCAGAATACTTTTATCTTGTATATAACAAATTTCAATTTTTCCGTATTTTTCCTTTTTTTTCCTCAATTTTTCCGGAAAAAATAGGTTTTTTCCGGCACCAAATTTTTCCGGTAATTTTAAATCTGTATTCCGGACTCTAGAGAATCCAATATGAACCGAGAAGTCCACGCTTAACGAGTATACAGGGGTGGTCTGAAATGTTTCCTACCTAATAAGACATTTTTTCTGAGTTTTTTTATATTGCACATAGTCTCCTTGTCACACACATCTCCCGGTGAAGCTTCTATCTCTGTAATCCGTCCAAATAGTACACGGCGTTTTTCTGCATGTGTTATAGTTTACTATGTAATATAATCTACAACAGATGGGGTATTAAGTATAGTAGATGAAATAACCCAAAATATAGATGGAAAAGTACCATCGATATGCGTATTTGTGGACTTACAAAAAGCGTTTGACACAGTTAACCACAATATACTTTTGGAAATCTTAGAAAGAATAGGTTTTCGTGGAAAGATGTATACTTTAATGGAAAATTATTTATCAAATAGACCGCAATCAGTAAAATTATTAAGCTCGTATAGTAAAGAAATGTTTGTTAAATGTGGTGTTCCACAAGGTACAATTTTGGGTCCTCTGTTATTCAATATTTATTTAAACGATATATTCAAAATTAACAGTACTGGTAAAATAGTCAGCTTTGCAGACGATACTGCTATACTCTATAAAGGCAAGGATTGGAACGACTTAAAAGATATTATCCAAAATGACTTTTGCACAATTATTCAGTGGTTTAATAACCGAAAATTAACAATTAACTTTACTAAAACTCATTTTTTACCATTTTCATCACTATCTAATCATCTACCAAAATATAACCACCTTCGGTTTAAGGTAAATGATAAAAATATAAAAATCAATAGAGTTAATGATACAAAATATTTAGGAATTTATCTAGATCCCCACTTGAGATGGGATGTACATATTTCTCACATACTAAAGAAAATTAGATTCATAGCATATAAAATAAAATTTCTAACCGGTATATTAACTGAATATTATCTACGAATAATATATCAAGCTTTAGTCGAACCACACATAACATATGGTATAGTAGTGTGGGGTGCTGCATGCACGACATACTTTAACGATTTAGATGTACTTCAAAGAAGAATTTTAAAATCAATGTTAGGCAAATCAAAATTATACCCAACTAATGACTTATATAATGATGCAGAAGTATATGATACTAAAAAACTTTACTTCTTACATACCATCACTCATTATCACAAAACTATTAGTGAACACGACATAATTAAACATAATCATAAAACCAGATATAAATTACGCGCAAAAAATGTTCCTAAACCAAACAAATCCCTAATGAAACGATGTCACCTGTATATAGCTCCAAAATTGTACGAACATTTACCAAATAATTTAAAACAATTACGCAATACATTAGGCTTCAAAAAAAAATTAAAAAAATTTATTAACACGATTGGGAGAAATCAAATTAATAAAATAATCTCAAATATTACACAATAAATGCTCTACCATTCTTACCAATAATTTCTTTTTTCTCTCTATTTTATTATATTTTGCAATTCAACATACATATGATCCATGCACAGGCGTTGTCCTCCTATGGATATATTATATTTATTTACTCATTTCATGTTCCCTGTATTTTAGAGTAAATAAATATTATTATTATTATTATTGATGCATTTTAATTATTTTCTAAATGCCTTCAAAGCAGACATGTCTTTTCGACATGTACTCGTTTCACATGTGTAAACACATCTGCGTAGTAACACCGATACCTGATCATTATTATTGATTATGTTTTTTCCAGGAGTTCCTAGCGGCGGTTCGCAGCGGCACCAAGGACCTCCGTCCCGTGCTGCGCTCCTCGGAAGCAGGGCGTACGATAGTCTCAACAGGACCTCGTCTAGTTAGAGACACGCAGAAGAGCAACAAAGTTGTTGACACCGAAGATACCAGGGAATTGAGTTGCGTCAGACCAGATGGAAAGATCGTCACCGAAACCCAACGGACGACTGAACATGAAGAAACCAAGGATGAAGACCTATCTGATGATGAGCCGGACGTGAATCTTCATAAGGAGAGCTCGGAAAGGTTAGCACTAGAATGTATCTTGCTATACGAGCACTAACACAAAATAGTTCGGACATTATCTAATTTTATCTTATTGTTTGTGTTTTAAGGTTACAAAGTAATTTTTTTCTTTCATAAGACATTGAAGTATATTGTTTGGTCATCATAAAAACAATATTATTATCAAGTAATATGATATGGAACTATAAAACTAAACGAATAATTATAACGCAACATTTGGCTGACACTAATCATTTCAATTGCTCGTTACGTCTCCCTTTGCCTTAATAACAGCATTAATTTTGGCTTTCACAGTTTTCTACAGTATATTCAGATAAGAGATAGACCGGATGTAAACAAAAGGTTCGGGTGATTTTCACGCTAACGCCACCGTCTCGACGTAAAACAGGAGCCCTCATTGGTCAATTCGCAATTAAATGCCTATGCCGAGCGGCAGAGCAGTCGTATCAAGGCAGAGTCACATTCAGGTTCAGACGTGTTACGTATGTCGTGTGCATCATTGCAATTTGATATTTCTTTGGACGTTTTCGTTTGTTATCTTATTAAGTTGTTGAGTTTGTCGTTGTTATTGTTATACCTTGTTATTGATTGTTATTGTTATCAACTGCTTGCGTAGTACAGATACTGCCGATGAAGTTGTAAACTCCTGTAGTCCACCTAGGAAACGCTCTAAAAAAAGACACCTGAGTGCAGAAATGAAAGAGGTCATTTTGAATATATATAAGATCGAGCGCGAGGAGAACGAGGCATCAACCATCAAAGAAATTGTTGTGAAGGTTTCTTACAAAGTTGGGGTGTGTCGCGCATCAGTGTTTAATGTGTTAAGACAATACAAAAAAATCACACCTTTTCTGAGCCAATGACCAGTAAACATCGCAAAAGTATTGTTAAATCATTGGATGAAGCTGATAAGCATGCGATTAGGAGGAAAGTGCATGAATTCTTCTTTAGGAATGAAATACCTACTATAGATAAAGTACTGCAGGAGGTAAATGGAGATACAACGTTGCCAAATTTCAAACGATCAACTTTCCATGCGTTACTGAAGCATTTAAATTTCAAATGGAAAAAACGGGGTCGTAATAGTTTACTACTGGATAGAGAAGAAATTGTGCTATGGAGGAGGGATTATTTAACAAAAATTGGGAAATATAGAAATCAAAACAGGAAGATTTATTACCTTGATGAAACGTGGGTAAACGCAGGACACACTACAAGTAAAGTATGGGTTGATGATTCTGTAACTTCATCCAGGAGGGCCTTTCTAGATGGACTGTCCACCGGATTAAAAAATCCAGCAGGTAAATACGAGTAATAGACAACAATCGGATGTTTTTCAAACCTTGGGAACAAGGTTCTAAACATTAATTCCAGGGGGCAGATAAAACATATTACAAGTAACAAAACTTTTATAACTTTCGATAAAATGCGCGGATGTTTTATTGTCATTTTCATTTGTTAGAACTTTTTTAAACCATGTTTTTATGTGTTTTCGATATTTCAATAATTTTTTAATATAATCTTAAAATATGTCGAATATTATAAACTTAAAAAAAGTTACTAAGTTTTATATTGTGTACCGTTCCTAATATTTCTAATCATTTTAATTCATACTTTAAGCTTTATAAAGTTATAATTTGGTAATATTAATATTTGCGCGTATTTCAGGTTCCTAATCATTCATTTTTTAAAGGTTTAACTTTAAATTAAATTGTGAAGCGCTGAGTAATCATACGACGTTCAATATTCTTTCTTTCAATATGACTAAATAATCCCAATTATAGCAATCTGATACTCATGTCTCAATGTTTTTTCGCTGAATGTGATGAAAACATTTGAAAAAGGTTCGCTTATTGAAATAAATCTACACCAGTTAGTACTTCGATTTCCAGGTAAAGGGAAAAGGCTCATTATCTGCCATATTGGCAGTAAGGATGGATTTGTTGTTGACGGTCTGTGGTGCTTTGAGTCTAAGAAAACTGGAGATTACCACGAGGAAATGAATGGCGAATCGTTTGAACAGTGGTTTTCAAAAATTTTACCGTACTTAGAGGAAAACGCAGTAATTGTGTTGGATAATGCGCCTTATCATTCTCGAAGAATGGAGAAGGTCCCAACAACGGCTTCAGGAAAGTTGATGTTCAAAATTGGCTCCGCTCGAAAAATATCAACTTTGAAGAAGCAATGCTGAAAGTACAATTATTAAGAATTGTCAAGGATCACAAGGCGGAATATCAAAAATACGCCATTGACGAAATGGCAGCAAGTCAAAATAAAACTGTGCTCCATTTACCTCCATACCATTGCAAGCTCAATCCCATTGAGCTCATATGGGCAGAGGTTAAAAATTATATAGCTAAGCACAATACAACTTTTAAATTTTGTGACCTCAAAGGACTTTTCAAAGAAGCACTAGAATTAATAACAGCGCAAAAATGGGAAAACTGTATTAAGTACGTGAAAGACAAAGTTGAAAAGAGAATGTGGGAACTGGACAATATTTTAGAGGAACAAGTCGAGCCATTCATTATTGACGTTGGTGCTTCAGGCAGTAACGATGATGAAAGCTCATCAAGCTCATCTTTCCAATAAAAGATGTCGTTCATCAAATTCGGTAAGTTATAAGTAATTATAAAGCTACTGTATTTTTTAATTAATTATTGACATTTTTGAACCCATTTTGGCAAAACCTATTCAAGAATCTACTTTCTGACAATGTTCAACCATGCACATTTTTTTACGTTTTGAACGTTTTAATTTGGTTACATATTTACCTAGAAATCAAAAAAAAACTAATCAATATTCTAAAAGCAATCTTAAGAGATATACGATTATTTTTAATTTAGGCTAATTTAAACGCCATTTTGAGATTATATTCGACTGTATTTCACCAAACATCAGACGGCATCCGAAGCTGGAAATCGAAGCGAAAATTTTGAAACCCTTATGTATATTTACATCATTATATATTTCTTACCCCACCCCCACATGATCCTATATCCATCACCAATCGTATACACATCGAATTGTGCTAATTTACTACAAAGTTACGCAAAGCAGCATCTACTATCTAAAATATGTACTGCGTGACTCTTAATACGTCCCTGCCGAATGTTACAGCGTTCGATGATCACGTGGTCTTGTTTATGTCCGGTCTATCTCTTATCTGAATATACTGTAAAACGTAGTATATGTTGACTGTTGCATATAAGGGAAGAAACTTTGTTACAAAAATCTAGACTCTTGCAGAGTACTAAGTCACCTAACTCATTTTCCAGGTACTTGAAGACGCGCGAGCAGGAAGACGTAGACTACGTGCAGAACGGAGTGAACGTAGGCCACGAGATGAGGTTTAAAACGGAAACCATGGAGGTGGAGAGGCGCGGAGATGGAGTGGACGAACCTGACGTTTTCGATTCTCTCTCGGCTAGAGCTAGAAGGAGAGCGGTCAATAGGCAACCTCATAGATATAGAGGTAAGAACTAGGCATCGGATGCAAACGAACTTGTCTTTAGTTCGTATTTTTAGTTAAACGACATTTTCATTACAATGGCTTTCGTTTTGAAATACTTGTCATCATTGTAATTGTACATGGTATGAATGTCCTTTTTGCAGAACTGTGGCGAAAACACACAATTAAAATGTTATCAGTAAGGTCATGAAAAAATAGAAATACGAGGTGGCCCAACGAAAAGGTCGCACCCCCATTTGAAACTCTCCTTGTATATTTTGGGAAAAACGCTCGGACACTTCAATCTTGATTTCTAAGGGGACGTTTTCAGCAGTGTCGAGGTGCCCAAACATAAGAAACGACGAAGAAGCAGCTCCTCATACGAGCAATCTCTGGGCACAAATATTAGACAACTGGAGCGAAGATGGGCCGATAATTATGATGTGCAAGGTCACCTTCAGGATTCCTTTCGAACTCGTGGCTTTGGCCGGGAAACGGGGTACTACACCTGTTCTTTTTACGAGACGAGGTCGGAGCATGATTGAAAATGATAGCGGTGCTTATATTTTTATTATGAAAAGATTCTGGAGGGGCAAGGGAAAAATCTTACTTTCACCCAAGTGTTCGAGGTTTTTGAAGCTTTTTTCAGGCGTCGGTAATTTAGGTGATAACAGCATTATTGTGAGCACATCAAGAATTGAATAAAGGATTTTTTAATTCCACAGTATATTAATGTCTGATGTCTTGAAACTGGGCTTTCTCCGCAACATTAAATGTGTCAAATAAAATATAACAAAGCTTTCATTACTTTGGTAAGGTTGTCGTTTCTCTAACCTCCTGTACGGTTTCCACTCTTTAATTAAGAACTGTTACATGAAGAAGATGGCGTGAATCATGGGATCTGCTTCAGCACTTAGTTCACATCGTCTCACAGACACCGCCGCATCGCCATTTAAGTTCATTTCTTGGAAGATCAGTTCTGTTAATTTGACAATTTCCTAGGCGGGTCATCACCGTTAGCACTAAATGCAATTATTCACGGATTCGCCCGGCGAATCAAGGTTAAACTAATTACGATTACGACGCTTCATTCGGTGTGAAGCGCTGGTTAGTACCGTTTCGTATGCACGTCTTCTTTGTTTTAGTGTGCGAGACGACCATTATTATAGCAATCGGTGGATCTATGAACTAAGGACGAAACTGAGCCTGATTTGATATTTGAAAAATTTAGTCTATCATCAAGAATGCAACTTTTTTTTGAATATCTTAAGAGGAACGGTCAAAAGCTTATATAGTGTTGGATTTATATATATACAGGGTGTTTCAGTTTATTGTTGCATAACTTTAAGAATCGATAGAACTTTTAAAATTAATGCATAAAGTATATATAAACATGGGTCGAAAAATGCGTGGCTTCCGAAATACAGGGTGTTTAAATTTACTTTCTAAAATAGTTTTTTTTAAATATTTCGAACTATATTTGATGTATAACAGTGAAAATTGGTATACAAGGGTTTTTTGGTACGACAAAACGAACCATGGGCATAGTTTTACTGTATCCGCTAGAGCGCGCTCTCTACTGTACCTGTAGTGTATTAAAATGACCGAAAATTTTTCTTAGTGCAATTTTTTGCTTTTTGAATAAAAAAACTGATTCTTCGCACTTTTCAACATAAAAAAGCTCTCTTGTGAATTTTCGTTATAGTTAGCCGTTTTTGAGATATTTCGATTTTTAAGGTTCGATGCATTTTTAATTATTTATGATAAAATAACGTTAAAAAGTCAGTATCTCGATAATTTTTAGAAGTAGGCTGTGCCTGCAAATATTTTTGAAATTGAAAGCAGAATAAAGTTAAACGTCAATTAGTTGACAGTTAGTTTTGTTGTCTGTTGAAACCTGAAACGTTTTTTTGCAATTGTGAATGCAGGAAATTTAGTTTCTTTTACCTGTTTTTTTTTTGTAAGTTTTATGAAAATGCCATTTTTATTCTCCAATCAAGAGTTAGCGGATATTCATTTTGTGTATGTAAATGGAAACGCAGCAGAAGCAGCCAGAGAATACGCACGAAGATTTCCAAACAGACGACATCTAACTCGCTCAGTATTTGTGAGAGTGCATCGTCAAATAATTGAAAATGGTTTTGGAAATCTCCAAAGGGATCAAAACATAAATGTTCGTCAGCGCAGATTTACCCGTATGATTCGGCGTGAGTTTGATAGAGATCCGACCACAAGTGTTAGGAGAGTTTCTGGTGCCTTGGGAATTTCAGCAAGCCATGTTCACCGTGTTCTTAGAAATGACCATAGACGTCCTTACCATTTGCAACCTGTGCAAGAACTACAGCCAGGGGACGGACATTTTGTCAGTGGATTCTTGTTAGAACTGATAATAATAAGGAGTTTTTAAGTAACGTTTTATGGACCGATGAGTCATGCTTCACTAGACGTGGAGTGGTAAATTTTCATAATCAACCGTAATCGACTATTTGGACCCTACCTCTTGCCTGCAAGGTTAAATGCTGCGACTTTCTTGGAATTTTTAAAGGCTGAACATGCAAATATGTGGGATGATGTTATGTTAGATTTAAGAAGATTGGCCTGTTTCCAGCTCGATGGTTGTCCAGCTTATTATTCGAGAATAGTTAGAAACTGGCTGGACGAAAATTATCCAGAAAGATGGATCGGCCGTGGAGGACCAGTCGCCTAGCCTCCACGATCCCCTGACCTAAATCCATTAGATTTCTTTGTGTGGGGATTTCTAAAAGAAAAAGTGTTTAAAAACACAATCTAAACGATCATCTTAGTTACTTGTAATGCCCAAATCGAAAATGTAAAAAAATATTATTTTCCCATAAATAATTAAAAATGCATCGAACCCTAAAAATCGAAATATCTCAAAAACGGCTAACTATAACGAAAACTCACACGAGAGCTTTTTTATGTTGAAAAGTGCGAAGAATCAGTAATTTTATTAAAAAAGCAAAAAATGGCACTAAGAAAAAATTTTCGGTCATTTTAATACACTACAGGTACAGTAGAGAGCGCCCTCCAGCGGCTACAGTAAAACTATGCCCATGGTTCGTTTTGTCGTACCAAAAAACTCTTGTATACCAATTTTCACTGTTATACATCAAATATTGTTCGAAATATTTAAAAAAAAAACTATTTTAGAAAGTAAATTTCGGAAGCCACGCATTTTTCGACCCATGTTTATATAGACTTTATGCATTAATTTTAAAAGTTCTATCGAATCTTAAAGTTATGCAACAATAGACTGAAACACCCTGTATATAATTATAAGTTAAAAATACCGAGGAATACTTTTCAAGAATCAAAAGTTCGACTCAGTGTTCAACCTGTGTCCTGACAACTTTTTAGGTGCTTTTGAAGCGCCTGCTCGAAAGATTTTTTCTATTGTATATTACATTTAGAAAACGTCATCGTTAACGCATAAGAAATGAATTATGATTTCCTGTTCACTTTCAACGATTTTCCACCCAACTGAGATCGGTACTGCTAATGCAATTATCTCGTTCCCAGCAACAAGGATTATTCGCTAATATTGGCGATATCTTCTGCCATAACTCTTCGGGAGGTATCATGCCGTATTGCATAATTAATTGCACAAGTCTCTCATCTTGGCACTCTTATTACCGGCTGGAAGATAACTTGCCATATTGCTTTCTCATTTATTTTGATAAGGCATGCTTGTAACTTAGCCGGCGTTTATCTTAAAAACTGCTCCGTCGTAAATTGACGTTCACTATTCACTTTCTATGCTATGGCTGGTATTAATGGCTATATTAGATGCTATCGAAACATGTTATAAAACCGTTTGGTGGGCTCGTTCCTTGTTGCTGGCAAAGTATCGTTGTTTTTGACAATAATTATTATAATTATTAATAATCACGTACTCGTAGAATGCAGGAACCTTTCAAGTGAATGCCTTTAAGTTTTGCATATGGAAATAAAACAACACGGTAGGTAGTTTTAAATGACTTTATTGTTTTTCGAAGTATTCTCCACGAAGATTAATACACATTTACATGCGCTCGAACCAATTTTCGAAGCACTTATTGCACTCGTGAACTGCTTCTTCTGGTAACTGGAACCTTTGACCACGCAGTCTGTTTTTTATTTTCGGGAAAGTAAAAACATCGTTAGGACTTAGATCGGAACTATATGGAGGATGGCCCAATAATTCCACGTTTTCTTCCGTTAAATACTACCTTGTTATTTGGGCTGTGTGCGAGCTTGCATTGTCTTGGCGGAGGATGATTCTTCTTTCGAGGTTGATTTTTCGAAGCTCGGTGATGACTTTTGGCAAACAAATCGTGGTATACCAATCCGCAGTAACAATTCTTTGCTCATTAAGAGGAATTGTTGCAATATGACTCGCGACCATCTTTTTCGAAACACTTCGAGAACGGATAACTTTTGTTGGCTTTTCTTCACCTTGGAACACCCAAACAGCGAACTGTCGTTTATTTTCTGGTTCATAACAGTAAATCCACGATTCATCACCACTAACAATGCTGTACACATTTTTTGAGTTTCCAGAATTGAAAAGGTCAAGCGTTTTTTGACACCAATTAACCCTGGCTGCTTTCTGCTCTTCAGTCAACAGGTGGGGTATCCAACGAGAAACTAATTTTCTTACTCCTTATTCTTCATGTAAAATTTTTGAATTGAGGTCTTTGCGATCTTCAAGGATGCCTCAATCTCGCGATATGTCACATGTCTATCTTCAATGATGAGATTGCGCACAGCATTGACGTTTTCCTGGCATTCTTGTTGCGATAATTGTCTCTGAAAATTGTCGCGAAAATGTTCTCGGTTGAGTTCCATTTTTCTAATGACTTGGTGACACTTAAGAATTCACTGCACACTGCACGTATTGTTGAGAAACTTTGAATTTAAGTTTACTAAAGAGTGAGGTTAAGATTCGGTACTGACGTTCGATCCGCGTGGCCAACTGTGTTTCTCTATTTTAATCTTCCAATATCTTTTCTTTTTTATATATT